AAATGGGTCACGTGACTGACAAGTTCAGATGGACAACACCAGGAAAACGGAACAACGTGCAATAACGTTCTATATATCATTGGAAAGAGCATCAAAAGTTGTATAAAATATCAACTTTTGACTTAAACATATCTTAAACGTAAAAAGTTATTAAGCATCAAAGACGCTCCCATTGACTTTCAAAGTTAAAATTTTTCATTTTTAAACGAGCTTCAAAAGAGCAAACGAATTCTGACAGCTTAACGAAGCATAACACCATGTTCTATGGTCTTTTCTCAACAAGTCCTGAAAGTTTAAACAAAATCGTATCATATAATTTTGTACAATGAGCGAATGAAAAAGTCTCTGCAAAAACGCCCATTGACTTAACATGGGGAGCGAAAAAAATTCAACTTTGACCTCGTGCAAAGACACGTTACGAAGTTCTGAGGGGTATACGGCGCACACCAGCGTGTACCCAAACGTGTTTGCCATAAAATGCTGGGAAGAAAACCACCTCTTCCTTGGCTCGTTTTTCCGCTATTCCCGATCGCGCAAAAAGTGTCCAAAACCCCGTTGACTTAACATGCGGAAAATGGAATCGCACGTGCCACGTGCCACGAGGTTTTAAGCGAGTAGCGACCGGTGCCAACAGGTAGATCGCCTGCGGGAGCCCATACACTGAAATTTTTAAGAAAATCGAGCCACAAGTTTAGGCCTGACCCAAGTTGCCCCAATTCGCGGCCAGACATGCAAAACATAGCCCGGAGAAGGACCGCTCCGGTTGTTTTTCAATAGAAAAACACAATTCTAACGAATAGTGTTTGTCTTTTCAAACAACCTGCGGTTACGATGCTGGGCTCCGCATCGCGGGACCGCAGGTTGTTTGAGCAAGCACCTTTGTAAACGCAGCAAAAACGCCCGCCGCCAAACGAGAGGATGAGCCTTGCACGTGCAGACCGGAGTCGGTGTGTTACAAACTGACGTGCACGGCACCCTACTCGCTGATCTATAGCGGTGTGCCAAATTTGAGTGTAATCGGCTCGGCCATTTTCGAGATCTGGAAGCGTCACCCTGCACGTGCGCACGTGCAAGCTGTGTCCAATTGCATTGTGCATGGGACCCTATTCGCCGGTCCCTAGCGGTGTACCAAATTCGAGCTCAATCGGCCCAGCCGTTTTCAAGATCTTGAAACGACCCCTCCACGTGCGCACGTGCAGTTGCATCTCAACCGTGACACATGGAAATACATACTAACTGACTTGTGCACGGCACCCTACTGATCGATCTCTAGATGTTTGCCGAATTTGAGTGCAATCGGTCCAGCCGTTCTTGAAATCTGGAAGCGTCACCCTGCACGTGCGCACGTGCAAGATGGGTCCAAACTGACTTGCGCACGGCACCCTACTAATCGGTCTCTAGCGGTGTACCAAATTTGAACTCAATCGGCCCGGCCGTTCTCGAGATCTGGAAGCGTCACCCTGCACGTGCGCACGTGCAGTTGCACCCCAATCGTGGCACATGGAAATACATACTAAATGACTGCAACCTACTGATCGGTATCAAGCGTTATGCCAAATTTGAACACAATCGGTCTAGCCGTTCTCGAGATCTGGAAGCGTCACCCTGCACGTGCGCACGTGCAGTTGCACCCCTACCAAGACACATGGAAATGCATCGCCTGGAAAGTGTCTACCTCCATGCCAAGTTTTAGCGCAATCGGCCCAGTAATTACCGCGAGCTATTGCGCTTATTACAAAACAGGCACCTCTTGGCTTTGCACGTGGAACGTGCGTTAGGGGTCACCCATATGCATCGAGAGTAGCACACTATGTGAAAGAAGGGAAAAAGCTACCCCACACAAAAAAACCGCACGTGTATCAGCCCAGTGGTTGCCGAGATATAAGTCGTACAAAAACGTCCCCACGGCGGCCGGCCGCTATTTAGCAGTAAAATCGTGTCGCATCCTTCTATTAGAGGTATCCCCGTCACCTGTTCGTATACTGTCTGAGCAAAGGCCATACGTTACGGTCCAAACTCCATAGTGAGGCGGACATACGAATTTACGAGAGTTTAGCGACGAAATGATTCACTTAATTGTTAAGTAATGGGTACCATTAGGTAGACCATAAATTTTATCTAGCATCTCACCGTAGATGCAGTAAAAAGTGCTTTACTTTTCAATGTATGTAAAGACTTGCTCAGCTCAATCAGTTCACTCTGTATTGGCTCAAGCCGTATCATGCGAACGCAATACAAACTAGAGCACCGACAGCGCAGCGCTCCCCAACTCACTGCTCGCCCAGTCCACCCGGGCCGCCGCCACGACGGCCCCCCCCCGCAAGTAGGCATCCCGCACTGCACCGACAGCCGCGGGCGACCAGCTGACCGGCCAGCTGACCGGCCAGCAGCCGGCGGGCGGCAAGCCACGGATGGCCGACCCGCCGGCGCGGCGAGGGAGGGGAGGGACGCAGCTGAAAGACCCGACTACATATATATCAAAGAATGATACATTATATGTAATCATCGATGACGCGACATAAATCTGCTTTATTGGGTTTAGCGGTGTAGTCTGTGATGCCATCACAATGAAAATAGCCTAGTTTTGTAGAGCATCAAATTCTGATTCCATAACGACTCTCGCTAGTCCATTTTCAATTGTAAATAAGCCTTTTATTGCGATGCAAAGTCCCGAAATGGTGCCGACGGCGGCCGGTCCCCCGATGGTACCATACCATAGATGGTAAACAGGTTAGTTCACATTCCCGCCGCTATGCGGGCGGCGGCGGCGCCACCTGTCCTCGTGTCCGCCTGACACCGTAACGATATAGGTCTGAGCTCAAATCTCGGTAATGTCGTGCTTTTTTACTATATTTCTCAAAAACGGCACCACGTGCAATAAAGTTGTATATATCATTGGAAAGAGCATCAAAAGTTGTATAACCTATCAACTTTTCACATAAATATATCTCAACTGTAAAAAGTTATTAAGCAGCAAAGACGCTCCCATTGACTTTCCATGTTAAAATTTTTCATTTTTAAACGAGCCTAAAAAGAACAAACGAATTTGCACAGCTTAAAGAAGCATAACAACATGTTCTATGGTCTTTTCTCAACAAGTCCTGGAAGTTTAAACAAAATCGTATCATATAATTTTGTACAATGAGCGAATGAAAAAGTCTCTGCAAAAATGCCCATTGACTTAACATGGGGAGCGAAAAAAGTTCAACTTTGACCTCGTGCAAAGTCACGTTACGAAGTTCTGAGGGGTATACGGCGCACACTAGCGTGTACCCAAACGTGTTTGCCATAAAATGCTGGGAAGAAAACCACCTCTTCCTTGGCTCGTTTTTCCGCTATTCCCGATCGCGCAAAAAGTGTCCAAAACCCCGTTGACTTAACATGGGGAAAATGGAATCGCACGTGCCACGTGCCACGAGGTTTTAAGCGAGTAGCGACCGGTGCCAACAGGTAGATCGCCTGCGGGAGCCCATACACTGAAATTTTTAAGAAAATCGAGCCACAAGTTTAGGCCTGACCCAAGTTGCCCCAATTCGCGGCCAGACATGCAAAACATAGCCCGGAGAAGGACCGCTCCGGTTGTTTTTCAATAGAAAAACACAATTCTAACGAATAGTGTTTGTCTTTTCAAACAACCTGCGGTTACCCGCCGGCGCGGCGAGGGAGGGGAGGAACGCAGCTGAAAGACCCGACTACATATATATCAAAGAAACATTATATGTAATCATCGATGACGCGACATAAATCTGCTTTATTGGGGTTAGCGGTGTAGTCTGTGATGCCATCACAATGAAAATAGGCGCCTAGTTTTGTACAGCATCAAATTCTGATTCCATAACGACTCTCGCTAGTCCATTTTCAATTGTAAATAAGCCTTTTATTGCGATGCAAAGTCCCGAAATGGTGCCGACGGCGGCCGGTCCCCCGATGGTACCATACCATAGATGGTAAACAGGTTAGTTCACATTCCCGCCGCTATGCGGGCGGCGGCGGCGCCACCTGTCCTCGTGTCCGCCTGACACCGTAACGATATAGGTCTGAGCTCAAATCTCGGTAATGTCGTGCTTTTTTACTATATTTCTCAAAAACGGCACCACGTGCAATAAAGTTGTATATATCATTGGAAAGAGCATCAAAAGTTGTATAAAATATCAACTTTTCACTTGAATATGTCTTCAAGGTACAAAGTTATTAAGCACCAAAGACGCTCCCATTGACTTTCCATGTTAAAATTTTTCATTTTTAAAGAAGCCTAAAGACAACAAACGAATTTGCACAGCTTAAAGAAGCATAACAACATGTTCTATGGTCTTTTCTCAACAAGTCCTGAAAGTTTAAACAAAATCGTATCATATAATTTTGTACAATGAGCGAATGAAAAAGTCTCTGCAAAAACGCCCATTGACTTAACATGGGGAGCGAAAAAAGTTCAACTTTGACCTCGTGCAAAGACACGTTACGAAGTTCTGAGGGGTATACGGCGCACACTAGCGTGTACCTGAACGTGTTTGCCATAAAATGCTGGGAAGAAAACCACCTCCTTCTTGGCTCGTTTTCCCGCTATTCGCGATCGCGCAAAAAGTGTTCAAAACCCCATTGACTTAACATGGGGAAAATGGAATCGCACGTGCCACGTGCCACGAGGTTTTAAGCGAGTAGCGACCGGTGCCATCAGGTAGATCGCCCCCGAGAGCCCATACCCTGAAATTTTTACGAAGATTGAGCGTTTCGTCTAGGCCCCTATCAAGTTGCCCCAATCTCAGGCCAACTTTGCAAACATAGCCCGGAGAACGACCGCTCCGGTTGTTTTTCAATAGAAAAACACAATTCTAACGAATAGTGTTTGTCTTTTCAAACAACCTGCGGTTATTTTTGGGCGTCACGCCGCCGCAGCCTGCTTTTGCCGATTCTAATGCTAACCCTATGGCGCACATGAGCACGCGCCACGGGCGCACCCCCGGCCGCATCGTGCCCAAAATTTAATACGACCTGTTGAATGACGCGACCCACGAGCCGTGAAAATTTCACCCTCGTGCGTCAATCGACGGCGCCGCATAAAGCCTTTTTAAGCGTAACCCCGACGGCGGCGGACTTTTTAAGATTTATAGATGAATAGTAGACCACTACAACCGCTGGGTCGTGTCCCAGCGGTTGATGGTCCCACCAGATGGTCCGCGGAGGGGAGACCCATACCAGAACGTAGATTGTGAAACAATGTAAGTATCTGCCAATATTACCTTTTCCAGAAGAGTTGAAAAACAGCAATGGGTCAGCTCTTGTGAGAAGCACCATGCAGTGTTGGCTGCACTTCAATCTTGTCTCCTGTAAAAAAAAAAAAAAAAAACAGTATCACTGTATGATTGACAGTTTGATTGCATTTCCTTCAAGCTGCAACATCTCTATTTTAGACATTTTCAGTTCCCACTTGCGCACGGCACCCTACTAACCGGTCTCTAGCGATGTGCCAAATCTGAGCACAATCGGCCCGGCCGTTCTCGACATCTGGAAGCGTCACCCTGCACATGTGCACGTGCAGTTGCACCCCAACCGTGACACATTTAAACACATTGCCCGGTGGGTGCCTACATCCTTTTTATAATGTAGTTATTGTCATTACAATCAAGTTGTACCGTGCTATTGTCATTACAACAAAAATGACACCTCTCTGTTTTACACGTGTCACGTGCAGTGGAGGTCACCCGCATGCATTGTCAATAGTAAATACCTGTAAGAAGGGTATACGCTACCCCGCACAAAAAACCGCAAGTGTAACAGTGTCCATCCCCTCCCCGGCGCCGTCTTCTTCCAGGGGAGGCGCCCCGGCCGCCGCACTGGGGCGTAGCGGAGTCCGTGCTTTTAGCACAGCAAAATATCCACCCAGGCTAGATTAAGGTCACGACAACCTAGGATTAAGAGTGGCTACAGACTCCAGGCTTTATGCAGACTTAACATTGAAGTATTATATATGCAACTAAATGACACACATGGTGTTTGTTCTAACCTTCTCAACAGAAAGTGAACGTGTCAGGACAGCACCCCTTGGTGACCATTATATTCAAGGAGTGTAGGAACTGATTCCCCAGGGGTGAAGCGATAGAAGCAAAAACATGAGTCACTAGTTCCCTCCTGTGTCTTCCCTCCTGCAGGAAAAAAAAATACATGTGTGATGCCCAATGTGACTGATAACTGCATATTATAAAGCTGGAAATATTGTACAAAGTTGTGACAACACAAGCAAACTATGCATGTCACTGCTCTTGTATAACTTTTCTATTTTTATTGCTATATGAGACCTCACAAGACACAAAAATATGCATGGTTAGAAAGGGGGTAACAATACATTTCAAATGAACTAAGCAGATTATTTCTAAGCTCATTTAAGTCCCAATTTCTGCTATATTTCGCTTGGAGTCACTTCATAGTTTGAACTCAAGGTGCCTTGTGGATTTACCTCAGGTATGTAGGTAAATCCACAAGGATTTATGGGCTTTACCTCAGTTATGTAGCTGCTCCCTCAATTTAAGTTTCTCGTTAAATTTCATTGAGGCGTTGCAAGATGGGCTGTAGCCAAATATGCTTCCCTGTTTAGCTGATGCTCATAATACCTGAACATTTCTAATTCCAATTTTTATAGCTGTTAACAATTGCTAAAGGCCCATGTACCTAGACAATAATGACTTTACAGAGGAAACCCCTGGCTGTGTTTCATGGGCACGCTGCCAGCAGCTGCCAGCGCATTCCGTGGAGCTAGCATCAACCTCTGGTAGTGTTGGAGGTATAGGCTTGTTGATGTCTATGGAAGCCAAAAGTGGCTGACAGAGTGCCGCGTTAAACCACCCTTATTTTTTGCACAATAATGGTGTGATAACTGTTCCTGCAAAAAAAATAAGGTGAAGTGAACTAAAATCAGGTCAAACATTTATATGTACCCAAAAGTAGCAGTGTATGGAGTACCTATATTCACATTACCAATAATATGATGCACAACAGGCCATAGAAAACCAGTGCAGTTGGGGAAACTACGAGGTGAACGTCAAAAAATGGATTGGTCAATAAATGGACTTTTGATGACCATATATGGGCATAAATGCAGCCCCCGCTACTAAGAGTGAAAAACGGTATGACAAGCCGGTACTTGCGGCATCGCGTCCACTTATTGGAGAGAAAAGGCTTCCATTTTTCACTAGCAATTGGTGTGATTTGATAAAATTTGGCGAATTGACTCGAAAATGGCGATAGGAAAACGGCTTTTCTGCAGGTTCTGGGCGTCGCAATCAGCTGGCCATTCAATAAATGGATTGGTTTTATAAAAGAAAATTGTTCAAAGATTTAATTTAATTACAATAAACAAAAATATTTAATTCTATAATAATAACTTAACTACAATTTAAAAAACCATAAACAAAATAATAAAAATAATGACATTTTTAAACCACGGTACTGCTTACATTTTTTGGCGCGTCCGTTTCAATCCGCCATATTTGCCAATCACGGACCAATCACGGTTTGACCTTGCGTTGTAACTCTGCGATTTAGAGCCGCCAGTTAATTATGCACCGGGTGAGTGTAGGCCTTGCGTGGTTAAAAAACATTCTTATGCCTTATCTTTTCATTTGAATGCTAAAGCCCCGCCCACTCCAGCCGCTGATTGGCTAATCCAATTTTTGTTTGGCTCCTCGTAGTTTCCCCAACTGAGTGAATGTTGAATTGTACCCCAATTTCAATATCAATATGGCACTTGGCAATAACAGTGAAACACACCGTTTTTTATGTTAAATCAACAGAGAAAACTCCTGAACGTAAAAAATGATCAGAATGTATAATAAGGATAAAAGTATAAATAAAAATCGACATCAGCGCCTATCATCGCCCCTGCACATTCACCACTCCCCATTCCACACGCACAGATTGTTTACCCCTTGGTTTACCCCGTGTTCGCAGTCTCCCTGACGACGGAGATTCTATACGCCCACCGACCAATCACGTTGAAGATCAGCGGGGCTTGGCCGCAGTTCTCGAACGCCATTGGCCAGATTAAGCAGGACCTTCGTCGTCAGTAAACTGTGAACACGGTGTTACATAATTCGCTATGGTAACAAAAGCGCCAGAATTGACTACGAGAATTGGATCCGAAGGTCAAATGGGTCACGTGACTGACAAGTTTAGATGGACAATACCTGGAAAACGGCACAACGTGCAATAACGTTCTATATATCATTGGAAAGAGCATCAAAAGTTCTATAACCTATCAACTTTTCACTTAAATATATCTATAACGTAAAAAGTTATAAAGCAGCAAAGACGCTCCCATTGACTTTGCATGTTAAAAAAATTCTTCTTTAAACGAGCTCAAGAAGAACAAACGAATTCTGACAGCTTAACGAAGCATAACAACATATTCTATGGTCTTTTCTCAACAAGTCCTGAAAGTTTAAACAAAATCGTATCATATAATTTTGTACAATGAGCGAATGAAAATGCCTCTGCAAAAACGCCCATTGATTTAACATGGGGAGCGAAAAAAGTTCAACTTTGACCTCGTGCAAAGACACGTTACGAAGTTCTGAGGGGTATACGGCGCACACTAGCGTGTACCCAAACGTGTTTGCCATAAAATGCTGGGAAGAAAACCACCTCTTCCTTGGCTCGTTTTCCCGCTATTCGCGATTGCGCAAAAAGTGTCCAAAACCCCGTTGACTTAACATGGGGAAAATGGAATCGCACGTGCCACGTGCCACGAGGTTTTAAGCGAGTAGCGACCGGTGCCAACAGGTAGATCGCCTGCGGGAGCCCATACACTGAAATTTTTAAGAAAATCGAGCCACAAGTTTAGGCCTGACCCAAGTTGCCCCAATTCGCGGCCAGACATGCAAAACATAGCCCGGAGAAGGACCGCTCCGGTTGTTTTTCAATAGAAAAACACAATTCTAACGAATAGTGTTTGTCTTTTCAAACAACCTGCGGTTATTTTTGGGCGTCACGCCGCCGCAGCCTGCTTTTGCCGATTCTAATGCTAACCCTATGGCGCACATGAGCACGCGCCACGGGCGCACCCCCGGCCGCATCGTGCCCAAAATTTAATACGACCTGTTGAATGACGCGACCCACGAGCCGTGAAAATTTCACCCTCGTGCGTCAATCGACGGCGCCGCATAAAGCCTTTTTAAGCGTAACCCCGACGGCGGCGGACTTTTTAAGATTTATAGATGAATAGTAGACCACTACAACCGCTGGGTCGTGTCCCAGCGGTTGATGGTCCCACCAGATGGTCCGCGGAGGGGAGACCCATACCAGAACGTAGATTGTGAAACAATGTAAGTATCTGCCAATATTACCTTTTCCAGAAGAGTTGAAAAACAGCAATGGGTCAGCTCTTGTGAGAAGCACCATGCAGTGTTGGCTGCACTTCAATCTTGTCTCCTGTAAAAAAAAAAAAAAAAAACAGTATCACTGTATGATTGACAGTTTGATTGCATTTCCTTCAAGCTGCAACATCTCTATTTTAGACATTTTCAGTTCCCACTTGCGCACGGCACCCTACTAACCGGTCTCTAGCGATGTGCCAAATCTGAGCACAATCGGCCCGGCCGTTCTCGACATCTGGAAGCGTCACCCTGCACATGTGCACGTGCAGTTGCACCCCAACCGTGACACATTTAAACACATTGCCCGGTGGGTGCCTACATCCTTTTTATAATGTAGTTATTGTCATTACAATCAAGTTGTACCGTGCTATTGTCATTACAACAAAAATGACACCTCTCTGTTTTACACGTGTCACGTGCAGTGGAGGTCACCCGCATGCATTGTCAATAGTAAATACCTGTAAGAAGGGTATACGCTACCCCGCACAAAAAACCGCAAGTGTAACAGTGTCCATCCCCTCCCCGGCGCCGTCTTCTTCCAGGGGAGGCGCCCCGGCCGCCGCACTGGGGCGTAGCGGAGTCCGTGCTTTTAGCACAGCAAAATATCCACCCAGGCTAGATTAAGGTCACGACAACCTAGGATTAAGAGTGGCTACAGACTCCAGGCTTTATGCAGACTTAACATTGAAGTATTATATATGCAACTAAATGACACACATGGTGTTTGTTCTAACCTTCTCAACAGAAAGTGAACGTGTCAGGACAGCACCCCTTGGTGACCATTATATTCAAGGAGTGTAGGAACTGATTCCCCAGGGGTGAAGCGATAGAAGCAAAAACATGAGTCACTAGTTCCCTCCTGTGTCTTCCCTCCTGCAGGAAAAAAAAATACATGTGTGATGCCCAATGTGACTGATAACTGCATATTATAAAGCTGGAAATATTGTACAAAGTTGTGACAACACAAGCAAACTATGCATGTCACTGCTCTTGTATAACTTTTCTATTTTTATTGCTATATGAGACCTCACAAGACACAAAAATATGCATGGTTAGAAAGGGGGTAACAATACATTTCAAATGAACTAAGCAGATTATTTCTAAGCTCATTTAAGTCCCAATTTCTGCTATATTTCGCTTGGAGTCACTTCATAGTTTGAACTCAAGGTGCCTTGTGGATTTACCTCAGGTATGTAGGTAAATCCACAAGGATTTATGGGCTTTACCTCAGTTATGTAGCTGCTCCCTCAATTTAAGTTTCTCGTTAAATTTCATTGAGGCGTTGCAAGATGGGCTGTAGCCAAATATGCTTCCCTGTTTAGCTGATGCTCATAATACCTGAACATTTCTAATTCCAATTTTTATAGCTGTTAACAATTGCTAAAGGCCCATGTACCTAGACAATAATGACTTTACAGAGGAAACCCCTGGCTGTGTTTCATGGGCACGCTGCCAGCAGCTGCCAGCGCATTCCGTGGAGCTAGCATCAACCTCTGGTAGTGTTGGAGGTATAGGCTTGTTGATGTCTATGGAAGCCAAAAGTGGCTGACAGAGTGCCGCGTTAAACCACCCTTATTTTTTGCACAATAATGGTGTGATAACTGTTCCTGCAAAAAAAATAAGGTGAAGTGAACTAAAATCAGGTCAAACATTTATATGTACCCAAAAGTAGCAGTGTATGGAGTACCTATATTCACATTACCAATAATATGATGCACAACAGGCCATAGAAAACCAGTGCAGTTGGGGAAACTACGAGGTGAACGTCAAAAAATGGATTGGTCAATAAATGGACTTTTGATGACCATATATGGGCATAAATGCAGCCCCCGCTACTAAGAGTGAAAAACGGTATGACAAGCCGGTACTTGCGGCATCGCGTCCACTTATTGGAGAGAAAAGGCTTCCATTTTTCACTAGCAATTGGTGTGATTTGATAAAATTTGGCGAATTGACTCGAAAATGGCGATAGGAAAACGGCTTTTCTGCAGGTTCTGGGCGTCGCAATCAGCTGGCCATTCAATAAATGGATTGGTTTTATAAAAGAAAATTGTTCAAAGATTTAATTTAATTACAATAAACAAAAATATTTAATTCTATAATAATAACTTAACTACAATTTAAAAAACCATAAACAAAATAATAAAAATAATGACATTTTTAAACCACGGTACTGCTTACATTTTTTGGCGCGTCCGTTTCAATCCGCCATATTTGCCAATCACGGACCAATCACGGTTTGACCTTGCGTTGTAACTCTGCGATTTAGAGCCGCCAGTTAATTATGCACCGGGTGAGTGTAGGCCTTGCGTGGTTAAAAAACATTCTTATGCCTTATCTTTTCATTTGAATGCTAAAGCCCCGCCCACTCCAGCCGCTGATTGGCTAATCCAATTTTTGTTTGGCTCCTCGTAGTTTCCCCAACTGAGTGAATGTTGAATTGTACCCCAATTTCAATATCAATATGGCACTTGGCAATAACAGTGAAACACACCGTTTTTTATGTTAAATCAACAGAGAAAACTCCTGAACGTAAAAAATGATCAGAATGTATAATAAGGATAAAAGTATAAATAAAAATCGACATCAGCGCCTATCATCGCCCCTGCACATTCACCACTCCCCATTCCACACGCACAGATTGTTTACCCCTTGGTTTACCCCGTGTTCGCAGTCTCCCTGACGACGGAGATTCTATACGCCCACCGACCAATCACGTTGAAGATCAGCGGGGCTTGGCCGCAGTTCTCGAACGCCATTGGCCAGATTAAGCAGGACCTTCGTCGTCAGTAAACTGTGAACACGGTGTTACATAATTCGCTATGGTAACAAAAGCGCCAGAATTGACTACGAGAATTGGATCCGAAGGTCAAATGGGTCACGTGACTGACAAGTTTAGATGGACAATACCTGGAAAACGGCACAACGTGCAATAACGTTCTATATATCATTGGAAAGAGCATCAAAAGTTCTATAACCTATCAACTTTTCACTTAAATATATCTATAACGTAAAAAGTTATAAAGCAGCAAAGACGCTCCCATTGACTTTGCATGTTAAAAAAATTCTTCTTTAAACGAGCTCAAGAAGAACAAACGAATTCTGACAGCTTAACGAAGCATAACAACATATTCTATGGTCTTTTCTCAACAAGTCCTGAAAGTTTAAACAAAATCGTATCATATAATTTTGTACAATGAGCGAATGAAAATGCCTCTGCAAAAACGCCCATTGATTTAACATGGGGAGCGAAAAAAGTTCAACTTTGACCTCGTGCAAAGACACGTTACGAAGTTCTGAGGGGTATACGGCGCACACTAGCGTGTACCCAAACGTGTTTGCCATAAAATGCTGGGAAGAAAACCACCTCTTCCTTGGCTCGTTTTCCCGCTATTCGCGATTGCGCAAAAAGTGTCCAAAACCCCGTTGACTTAACATGGGGAAAATGGAATCGCACGTGCCACGTGCCACGAGGTTTTAAGCGAGTAGCGACCGGTGCCAACAGGTAGATCGCCTGCGGGAGCCCATACACTGAAATTTTTAAGAAAATCGAGCCACAAGTTTAGGCCTGACCCAAGTTGCCCCAATTCGCGGCCAGACATGCAAAACATAGCCCGGAGAAGGACCGCTCCGGTTGTTTTTCAATAGAAAAACACAATTCTAACGAATAGTGTTTGTCTTTTCAAACAACCTGCGGTTACACCTCTTGGCTTTGCACGTGGAACGTGCGTTAGGGGTCACCCATACCAGCATCTGCGATGCTGGGCTCCGCATCGCGGGACCGCAGGTTGTTTGAGCAAGCACCTCTTTAACGCCGCAAAAACGCCACCCGCCAAACGAGAGGATGAGCCTTGCACGTGCAGACCGGAGTGGGTGTGCTAAAAACTGACGTGCACGGCACCTTATTCGCCGGTCTATAGCGGTGTGCCAAATTTGAGTGCAAACGACCCGGCCGTTTTCGAGATCTGGAAGCGACACCCTGCACGTGCGCACGTGCAGCCTGGGCCCCAATTGACTTGTGCACGGCACTCTATTCGCCGGTTTCTAGCGATGTATCAAATTTAATCTGAATCGGCCCAGCCGTTTCCAAGATCGGGAAACGACCCCTACATGTGCGCACGTGCAGCTGCACCCCAACCACGGCACATGAAAATACATACTTACTGACTTGTGCACGGCACCCTTCTGATCGTTCTCTAGAAGTGTACCGAATTTGAGTGCAATCGGCCCGGCCGTTCTCGAGATCTGGAAGCGTCGTCCTGCACGTGCGCACGTGCAAACTGGGTCCCATCTGACTTTTGCTCGGCACCCTACTCGCCGAGCCCTAACGGTGTGCCAACTTTGATCACAATCGGCCCAGCCGTTCTCGAGATCTGGAAGCGTCACCCTGCCCGTGCGCACGTGCAGCGGCACCCCAACCGTGACACATGGAAATGCATTGCCGGGTGCGTGCCAACATCCATGCCAAGATCAGCGCAATCGGCAAAATAACTACAGAGTTATTAGACTTGCTACCGAACTGACACCTCTTCGTTTTGCACGTGGCACGTGCATTAGGGGTCACCCATACGCATCGAGAGTAGCACACTACGTTTGGGAAAGGAAGAAATTATCCCACACAAAAGACCGCGAGTGAATCGGGTCAGTGGTTGCAGAGATATAAGGTTTGTAAAGGCGCCCCCACGGCGGCCGACTGCTAATAATTAGCAATAATCAGTGTCGCGTCCGCACATGGGAGGTGTCCCCTTCACCTGTTCGTATATTCTAATGTGATTGGGTTCAAGTCACAGTCGAGCCCTGCTTTTTTACAACTTTTCTCAGAAACGGCACATCGTGCAGTGACGTTCTATGCATTGTTGGAAAGAGCACCAAAAGTTGTATATTATATTAACTTTTCACCTATATATAATACTAACGATAAAAGTTATGGAGGAATAAAGACGCTCCCATTGACTTTCCATGTTAAAAATTTTAATTTTCAAATGAACTTTATAAGAAAAAATGAGTTCTGCCAGCTTAACGAAGCATAAGCGCATGCACTATGCTCTTTCCTCTACAAGATATATGAGTTTGGGCAAAATCTATCTCTAAAATTTTGTACAAAGATCGAATGAAAATGTCTCTGCAAAGTCTCGGCATCGCCGTCCATTGACTTAACATGGGACACAGCAAAATTCCAACTTTGACCTCGTGCAAAGACACGTTCCAAGATTCTGAGGGGTATACAGCGCACACTAGCGTGTACCTGAACGTGTTTGCCATAAAATGCTGGGAAGAAAACCACCTCTTCCTTGGCTAGTTTTCCCGCCATTGGCGATCGCGCAAAATGTGTCCAAAACCCCATTGACTTAACACGGGGAAAATGGAATCGCACGTGCCACGTGCCACGAGGTTTTAAGCGAGTAGCGACCGGTGCCATAAGGTAGATCGCCTCCGGGAGCCCATACACTGAACTTTTTACGAAGATTGTACATTTCGTCTAGGCCCCTACCAAGTTGCCCCAATTCGCTGCCAGACTTGCAAAACATAGCCCGGACAACGACCGCTCCGGTTGTTTTTCAATAGAAAAACACAATTCTAACGAATAGTGTTTGTCTTTTCAAACAACCTGCGGTTATCAAAATTCTGAGATATACATTTTGTACATGCTATTGCTCTTAGCAATCGCTGAAAGTTTCAAAGCAATCGGTCACTCGGTGTAGCTACAAACTGGGTCCCATCTGACTTGTGCACGGCACCCTACTCGCCGATCCCTAACGGTGTGCCAAGTTTGATCACAATTGGCCCAGCCGTTCTCGAGATCTGGAAGCGTCACCCTGCCCGTGCGCACGTGCAGCGGCACCCCAACCGTGACACATGGAAATGCATTGCACGGCGGGTGCCTACATCCATGCCAAATATCAGTGCAATCGGCAAACTAACTACAGAGTTATTAGACTTGTTACCGAACTGACACCTCTTCGTTTTGCACGTGGCACGTGCATTAGGGGTCACCCATACGTATCGAGGGTAGCACACTACGTGTGAGAAAGGAAGAAGCTATCCCACACAAAAGACCGCAAGTGAATCGGTCAAGTGGTTGTGGAGATATAAGCTTTGCAAAGGCGCCCCCAGTGCGGCCGACTGCTAATAATTAGCAATATTCAGCGTCGCGTCCGCACATGGGAGGTGTCCCCTTCACCTGTTCGTATACTCTAATGTGGTTGGGTTCAAGTCACAGTCGAGCCCTGATTTTTTACAGCTTTTCTTAAAAACGGCACATCGTGCAGTGACGTTCTATGCACCAGTGGAAAGAGCATCAGAAGTTGTATATTATATTAACTTTTCACCTATATGTCTTACTAAAGATAAAAGTTATAGAGGAATAAAAACGCTCCCATTGACTTTCCATGTTAAAAATTTTCATTTTCCAACGAACTTTATTAGAAAAAACGATTTCTGCCAGCTTAACGAAGCATACCAGCATGTACTACGCTCTTTCCTGTACAAGCTATAAGAGTTTGGGCAAATTCTATCTCTAAAATTTTGTACAATGAACGAATGAAAATGTTTCTGCAAAGTCTCGGCATCGCCGTCCATTGACTTAACATGGGACACAGCAAAATTCCAACTTTGACCTTGTGCATAGAGGTGTTGCGAGATTCTGGCGGGTATACGGCGCACACGGGCGTGTACCGGAACGTGTTTGCCATAAAATGCTGGGAAGAAACCCACCTCTTCCTTGGCTCGTTTTCCCGCCATTGGCGATCGCGCAAAAAGTGTCCAAAACCCCGTTGACTTAACATGGGGAAAAGAATTCGCACGTGCCACGTGCCACGAGATTCTGGCGGGTATACGGCGCACACGAGCGTGTACCTGAACGTGTTTGCCATAAAATGCTGGGAAGAAAACCACCTCCTTCTTGGCTCGTTTTCCCGCTATTAGCGATCGCGCAAAAAGTGTCCAAAACCCCATTGACTTAACATGGGCGAAAATGGAATCGCACGTGCCACGCGCAAAAGACTTCTTAGCGAGTAGCGACCGGTGCCATCAGGTAGATCGCCTACGGGAGCCCATACACTGAACTTTTTA